GATACCCTTGGGACAAGGGTTTGAGCTGCAAAATATATAAAGAACTCATATGACTCTACTCCAGGAAGACAAACCAGTTAAAACATGGGCAAAGGACCTGAATAGACACTTCTCCAAAAAGGACATACTGAGGGCCCAGAGACATATGAAAAAATGTTCAGCATCACTAGCCATCAGAGAGATGCAAATTAAAACCACAATGACATACCACTTCACACTGGTGAGAATGGCCATCGTAAACAAATCAACAAACAAGTGCTAGAGACAATGTGGATAAGAGGGAACCCTAATGCATTGTTGGTGGGAATCAGACTAGTGCAGCCACTGTGGAAAACAGTATGGAATTTCCTCAGAAAACTAAAAATGGAACTGTCTTTTTACCTGGCAATCCCAATGCTGGGATTATACCCTACGAGCCCCAAAGCACCAAAGCAAAAGAACCTATGCACCCCAATGTTCACAGCAGCACAATTTACAATAGCTAAGTGCTGGAAGCAGCCTAAGTGCCCATCAGTAAATGAATGGATCCAAAAACTATGGTACGCTTATACAATGGAATACTATGCAGCAGAAATAAAGAAGGTGCTCCTACCCTTTTCGATAGCATGGATGGAACTCGAAAGCATTATGCTAAGTGAAATAAGACAGGTGGTGAGAGAAAAATGCCATATGACCTCATCTATAAGTGGAACCTAATCCACAAATCAAACGAGCAAACAAAATATAACCATAGACATTGAAATTAAGAACAACCTGACAGTAACCAGAGAGGAGGAGTTTGGGGATAATGAGGGGGAGAGGAGGAAGGATTTTCAGGAACGTGTATGAAGGACACATGGACAAAACCAAAGGGGGATAGTATCAAGAGTGGGAAGTGAAGATGGCTGGGGTTGGGGGGAGTAGTAGGGGGAAATGGAGACAACTAAACTTGAACAACAGTAAAAATGAAAAAAAATTATATTTTAATTAGGTAAAATTAAATAAAATAAAAATTCTAGTTACTCAGTCGCACCAGCCACATTTGAATGCTCAGAGAGCATGTGTGTCTAGTGCTTACTCTCCTGGACATCACAGATTAGAAGATTTCCATCATGGTAGACAGTCCTGTTGGAATGTGCTACTCTAGCGTATGATAATTTATTTAACCCAATCTGTCATCTTTGGCAGAGTGGCAGTTGTTTTTAGAAAAGAGACAAGGGACATATCTATATGCAAGGGAAGAAATGTTAGACATAGTTATGCCTAGAAATTTCAATTAATATTTGTTTTTCCAATAAATGATTTAAAATTCCTACCATGTGCCGACATGCTCATTACATGCAATGGTGAGCAAGTCCAGACTAGTTCCTGGTGTCCAGGGACTTACATTCTACTGCTGGGGACTAAATTTTACTTGCTCTTCTAGAAACCTCCACCCTGCTTCCTCACTTCCTTCAACTCTAGGTTTAAATGTTGCCTTATACAGAGACCTTCCCCAAGCAATCTAAACAAAACAGTAATCTTTGACTACACCTCCTCCACCACACCCTATACTGCTTGCCCTTCTGTATTTTTCTCTAGAGTCTATTATTTGCCTCATTTTACAACTTATTTACATATTTATAAATTTGTCTATTGTATATTTCTCTTGATTAGAATAAGTTCTCTAATAGAGTAGGGACTTGACTTGGTTCATTGCTATAACTCCTAATCCAACATTTACTTGTAACATAATAATTTATGTCCCTAAGTGAAACTCCATGGCATTCGACAAACTGTTACAGGAAAATGAAGCAACCAGACACTGAGGGATTCTGGAGTACGAGGTTTATTAACGTGTACGGACGCAGAGGAGTCAGTCTCCAAATTCTGAGCCCCGAACAAAGGATTCTTGGGGTCTTCCTGTCTACATAGCAAAGCGGGATACAGAAGGGGAATGCAGAAGCTAGTTCTAGCTACATGGCAGAAGCAGAGTACAAAGGCTAAATGTGGAAGTTAGTTGTAGCTGCGGGAGTGCTAGTCCTAGCCCTTGTGAATATCCTGCTGTTTGCTTTCCCAAACAGCCCTATCACTTTTCCTAGGGTGCTTGGGGTTTGGGTAAACAAAGGTTCTTCAAAACTTCCCATATCAAAACATATAGCAAAATTCACCTGGAAATAGAAAGGGACAAATATTTTAAAATGTGGATTTATTGTTTTGGGGGGAAAGGCAGTGATGGTGGATTTGTTTTTCAACTTGTAAAACCATTTACAAATTGAGAATCGTTTCATTCTTACAGAGTTGGGTTAAAATGTTTACAAATGACGAGACAGGGTGTATAGCAGAGATACAGGTAAAGATTTAAATAGTGACTAGTGACATACTATAAGGCAAATCTTAAGTAGCCTAAGAGTGAGGCAAGAAATCACTATTCAGTAAATGTTTGGAGGACAGCTGGGTATCCATATGGGACAAAATTAATCAGATTGTAGAAATCGGGTTCCCTGCTGCCGCAAATCCTGGAGAGCTTAAAGAGTTAACTGGGAGTCAGGATGTACATAGGGATGATGGAAGGGTTTCAATAAAAAACCAGAACAAAAATATATAGAATATTCTTTTCTTTTGTGGGTTTTTTTCTTTATATTAAATAAACAGATATGATCTAAATAAAAAATAGTGCTTGAATGCTAAGAATTATTTTACCCAGACTTTTAAAAAACTTCTTACATTTGACTTAATTTATATTTCTATGATAATATATTCAAATTATACACACTTTGAAAATAATTACTGATGTGGACCCTGGCTTGTGGGGTCCGCCGCCACATTGTGGATGAGGTAGGAGAAGTTCACACGGACTACTGAGTCCTGTGAGGAAAAGGGACAGCATGGCTTTTCTCTCAAGGGCAGCAAAAGCCACAGCCCTTGCCGTGACCTTGCCATGACTGGCCTTTATTGGGTTTCTCAGCACATTACCTGATGGTCCTCATTTACTATGCACAGGTTGCTGGTAGGTGGCTACCTTTTACAGAAAACAAAGGGGCCAGTGCTGCTAATCACATCACAGAAGAGGGATATTTGCAAATGAAAAGGCAAAAGTGGCTGAACCAGTTACACTTATCCTTGGAAGGTTTAGCATGGATTTTAGGAAGTTACTTTGCAGTAAATGTTTGCCATAAATTCGGGTGAGGGGATTTTTAGCAAAAAGCAAGACTCAAAGCAGCTGAGGCACATTGCAGGCCTGATTCCCCACGAGAGAACCTATCCGTGGGCGTGGCTCCTATGCATCTCTGAGTGGGGCCCACACCAGGCAGAACAGTCTCCTACAGTTACACTATTCACATTATGATGAAGATATATTCAAATTATGTACACTTTAAAATTATTTATTATAATAGAACATAAATCAGAAAAAATATTGATTATCGTTATGTATTTAGTGGTTGTGCTGAAATGAAGACAAAAATAAATTTGGTGTAATACACATGTAATAATTTACAAATTATGTGTTTTATTTTGTTACTCAATACTTTGCCAGCTCATCAACAGAACATCCTGTCTGCACAATAATTAGTTTCATTTGTGTGACATTTTGCCTACTTTATTTAAGAAAAAAAATTTAAACCTAGACTTTTTATTACCCAGGATTTTGAGGGAAGCCTTTATTGAGAAATAAACTACATTTATGAACCCACTGACTAAAACAAGCCCTGTTGGCACTTGAACTAGTGAACCTTTGTAGATAATGCCACGCGAGACTACGTTAGCTCTGGAGAGCCCCACACAATTCTGTGAGATGTTGCTGGGCAGAACCGGTCTGCTACCTATTCCACTTTAATGTATCTTTATTTCATAGATCAGAAAATTTCCCTATAAAAGCCAGTGCTGGAAAGATACTAAATGCAGTAAATCCTACTTCATATCCATCATGGGAAAATCAATTTTATATTAGTTCTGGGGTCACATTAAATTTTAGTCCTTGGTTAGCTGTTCCACAAATACAGCCTAATGCCAAGTTAACCTAAAACAAAATAATAGTACTTTCTTATGCTTCCATTTTTTATATTAATTGGTTCATTCATTTTACAACGTTTATTGAACATCTTGTTATGTCACACACTGTGTTATATGCTGGAACGATAATGAGAAGATTATGTAACTCGACATAACTTATTTCCTTTAATTGCATTTTTTTCTACAATAACTGTATGGGATTACTTGTAATAGAGCCTTGTCAGGTAGATGTCATTTAATAGATGAGGAAAAAGTGAACTGCCCCAAAGGGAAGTAACTTGGAAGCAAAACAAGCCCTGTGCTGTTTCTACCTCCCTCCGGCAAATACTGTTAGTTTTCAAATGAAAACACTGGGAAACGTGGTCTGAGAAGTATTTCTCTTTTGAGCATTTATTTGCAGAAAAGGTTTTAAAGCAATATTACACTGCGTTATATTTATTCTTTTGCTTAGTCACCTTGTTGAAACATCTGGAACATATGGCCACCATGATATTTACCCAGCCTAGTTTTCCGAATACTTACTTTCTTACCCAGCCCTAGTTTTTACACTTTGTATCCTCTCCTCCCTTTCTTCCTCTTTTTATCTCTGTTTCTTGTCTTTTCATCACCCGTAGCTTTTTTCATTTGTTTTTCATCATGTAACTTCGCTTTAGAAATTTGTCTGCCCCAACATACTTGGAAGTTTACAGTTTGTTCAACAAAATTTAATCACATGTGAAGAGTGGAGTCTGTGTTCTTCTCTGATTCATCCCCAGCTTTGCCATTGTCTCTTCTTGCTTTCCCGACCCTGAGGAGCACGCCCACAAGCTCACACACCCATGCTTCCCACATCAATCTGTGCATTAAAAAGTCAAAAGTTTTGGAAAGGATTTTATCCTCTCTGAGCTTTCTGTTTGGCTTGGTACTATAAGTGAAAATGTGTAGCTATAAATCACCATTTATAAACAACCATTTTAGGACAATTTTTAGAAGGTCCTAGTTACAATTCAAAGATGTGATACAATGTGTCTCTTTGTTTCCACCCCCAGGTGTGCAACACGACCACTGACAGGAAGCACGCAGACACCTTCCTGGAGAAGTGTGTGACTGAGTCCATAATGAGCATAGTGAGCGGCTTCTTTAACTCTCCATTTTCAGACAACAGCACCAGCCTCCAGGTAACCCCAACACACGTGTGCAAAGATGTTCCTCCACACAGCACCGATTTGCCTCATTTGAGTGGGGAAAACTTCAGTCTGATTGGGAAGTCATTTCCTGCACTTCTGAAGTTCACTGTTCTGTCGGATTAATTTGCTATTATCCTCTTGGAGTTCACCAAACTTTATTTCAGATAAAGAGGCCCCATCCTCAAGTTAATTTATTCTTGCTCTCTCTCTCTACACCTAATGGAAACTTTCATATTGTTTATGAGCTGTTTGCCAAGTGGCGAAATAAATTATGTAATTCTCTAAATGGGGAGGCATTTTTGACACAGTGATTTCACTTCAGTAATTTATCCTGAAACAATTAGCAGGATTTTGTATAGTAAGATTTTCATTCAAGTCTTTATAAATGTAAAAATTGGCATCTACCACAAACAGGGGAATAGCTAAATAAATTATAGTATATCTGTAGTATGGCTTTTAAAAAATTGTTTCAAAAGAAATATTGATGATTAGGAAAATGATCATGAATAAGAGTAAGTAAAACAGGCTACAGAATTGCCTTATAGCGTCATCCAAGTTTATACACATATATATGTGGAAAAACTCAGTAAAGTGTCTTCAAAATTGTGATACTGATTATCTCTGTATAGTAGGATAATTGGTGATTTTCATTACTATGGTTTCCAAATATTTTACAATGTTTGGGTATTGCTTTTATAAAAATACCATTTCAGTTATGCTTTCTTTAGGAAAAACTTTAAAACAGTTTGATAGAAGCATTTCAAAATTGTTGTCTCCTCTGCTTACCCATTGTATGAAACCAAAACAAACAAACAATCAATCAAACAAATAAATCTAGAACACCTTCTCTCTATTTATACTGCCAAATAAACTAGAGTATTTATTAAATATATACTTAACCAGAGTATTAAATACATACTTAAATGACTTGAAGTCATTGACTTCAAGAAATGCCATATTATTCTGATTAAGAACATAGTTGAAATGCAGATAATTGATTTTTTTATAGTGTCTGGCATGTGCTTGTCATGAAGTGGGTATGTAATAAATATTTTTTGAATGAATATGCATTGAATAGCTCTGAAACTAAAAGCTGGTGTGTGTTTTGTTTCAAAAAGCCTTCTGGATAATGCATAGACATTGTATCAGGTGTGTTAATGGTTTAGCAGCCTATTTGCCTGCCTTCTCTCTCTTTACAGACACATCAGCCAGTTTTCATTCAGCTGCTGCAGTCTGCCTTCAGAATTTACAATTGCACCTGGCCAAACCCGGCGCAGAAAGCCTCGGTGGAGTCCTGTATCAGAACTTTGGCTGAAGTGGGTAAGTCAGAGTGTCCAATTTTACTTACTTTACACTTTGTTAAAGAATCAGGCTTTTGGCTAATAGGGAATACAAGCAGCTTTTCAGTTTATGTCACAATAAGAAAGCAGGTATAGATTCTGTGAAGCTGAGCAGCAGTGATCGGCAAATGATTTGGAGTATTGCATAATTTTGGGGAAGAGAATATAATTATTACATTTCTTTTAAAATATTTATTTTTTGTTTAATTGTTCTATTTCTAAATTTAAATTTAATATGCATATGGTACTGTAAGCCAGCTCAGTGAGATTTTATAGAAATGGGTTTAGTTGAATTATGTCAAATTTTATTATTGAATTATCTATTAAGTAGCCTGGCTTATTAATACCTTCACATGGTTGTAGGGCTATTTGAGGGTTTTTTAGTTTTCTAATTTTGTTTGACATCCATCTGTATTTATTGAGGGCCCATTATATGTAGAAGGCCTCAGAAATGACAAATGGCAAAGGTTAGTAAATTCTGGAATTTCTCATAAATCCTCTTCTCTTCTCTTCTCTTCCTTCCTTCTCTTCTCTTCTCTTCCTCTTCCTCTTCCCCTCTTCCCCCTTCTCTTCTCTTCCCTTCCCTTCCCTTCCCCCTTCCCCCTTCCCCCTTCCCCCTTCCCCCTTCCCCCTCCCCTCCCCTCTCTTCTCCCTCTCCTCCCTTCCCCTCCCCTCTCCTCTCCTCTCTCCTCTTTCTTGTTAATTAGGGCCACCCCATGGATGGCAGAGGGGAGGAGGGGGAAGACTTACAGACTTGGCTGGACTTAAAAACCAGAGGACCTTGACCATTCCCTCTGCAAGGGAGGTTCTGCAGACACCAGGAAGGGCAGCTTACAGTGCATGTCAGGACTGCTGACTGTTACTGAGCACTTACGCTGTGCAATGCTGAGCAATTTGCATTCATTCTCTTACTTAATCCTTAGATAACTTTATTGATTATTTACATTTTGCAGATGCAGAAACAATAATCTAGATAAAGTAACTTGGCTAGGGTTGTATGTGCTCAGTAAATGTTTGATAAGTGAATAAATGATTTAAGTAATTAATGACCATTTTACATTTTTTAAAGTTTTCTCCCATACCTAAGTGCCATTGACAAAATTTAATGACTGCTCAATTTTAAGTAGAATATATTAAAAAGCAGTTATAACCCAAGAGGATCAATGGAAAATTATTAGAACTAAGTGACTAATAGGGTTTATCCAGGTGTTTAATTATAAATAAGTATTAAACTTGATAGATTTTTTTGGTATACTAAAAAGAAACCATACATTGTAAAAAGATATAATTCACAATAGCAATAAAATATTAAATAAGGGAAAACTTGAGAAATGTGAGAGAATATATTATAATGTGATATTGGAGGATAGGAAAGATTTTAATAAATGGAGATATGTACTATTCCTAGACTGAAAAATTCAATTTGTAAGAATGCCGGACATTGCTGGAGGCAGAAGTGACAAAGCTGACCCTACTTTGGAGACATCAGGAGAGGGCAGGGGTCTTTGGAAAAGGCAGTAACACTGGGAAAAGCGGAAGTTAGCAGGAAAAGAGGAAGGCCAAATACCAGACGGGTTGACTCCATAAAAGAAGCCGTAGGTGTAAGTGTGAGAGCTAAACAGGGCTATTTTGGAGAGGACATTGTGGCCATCACCCATTCATAGCATTGCCCTGGGAGGCGACTTGTTGGCCAGTGACACTCAAGGATGCTAGTTCTCCTTAACTGATAACTTCAGTGCTTCCAAACCCAGACCCCTCCCTCACACAGGCCCTGCTCTCCTCACTGCCCACTTGGGCTGAGGCGCCCCCTGTGGGGCCACACCCCCCAAAGATTTGTCCCCTGGCAGGTTGGCCTCTCACCCCCTCCCAGGGAGGCTCCCGCAGCCCGAGTCCAGATGCCTGCTGCTTCGAGAGCCACCGTCTTCTCCGAGCTTGGAGTCTGACTCTGTGCAGGGTCACTGGGTCACAGGAATATCCTCATCACCTTTGATACCCTGCCAGCCTCTCCTTCAGTGTGGGTGCCCTCCTCACCCCGCTCACGTTCCGATTCTCTGCTCCACACAGGCTCCTTCACTCTGTTTTGAGCTCCCACCCCCTGGACCACTGCATCTCCTGGTGCGCTTCTTGCCCAGCGCAGACACTGAACTTGGCTCCTTAAAGTTTCAGGACTGAGTGGTTCAAAAAAGGAAGAGGCCATAATATGTGTCAAAAATAAAGAAGGACATAGAAGAGAACCTAGTTTTTATTTGAAAAAGATACATATAGCAAAATGCCCAGAAGGCTATAAATAAAATATTAACATTTGTTTTCTCTGACTGGGGGAATTATAGATGAATCTGCTCCTGTTGTTCATGCTTTTACATAACTTCGGAGCTTTTAATAGTATACTTTTCAAATGATAATAAAACATTACTAAAATTTTTATTTGGACCAAATCAGCTGGGAAATAGAGCAACCATAAAAAGACACAATTCAAAGGAAAACCAAAGGAATATGATGATGTTATTTTTCTTCATAGGAACACAGCGCCTCAGCTGCCGAGTATATTTCTATTTTTCCATTTTAAGGAAGTCTCCCCTCTTCCCTTCTTCCTTTTTTCCCTCTCCTTCTCCTCTTCCTTGTTTTCCTCCTCTTCTTCTCTCAGTATTTAGCAAATGCAATGGGGGGAGACACCAGCTGGCCCTACACAGAGCACGATGCTCACGACAGCTGGAAACCGAGACCCAAAGGCCTTTGCAGCCCCAGTGAGGTCACAACCTCAGCGGCTTCCCTTGTGCGGTCCCGTCACTTCTTGCGTAGTAGGGTAGCTGGGCTTTGGGGCTTTAAAGTGGTTGCTGAAACTACGTTAGTCTAAAGATATCTTTTATTTCTAAGCTAAAACATTTCTTTGTCTACTATTTCCTCTACTGACCAAAAACCATATGATTTAACAGGAAATTTTAGTTGCCTTTTTGTATGCTATGAAGACCTGTGATGGGAAGTATTGTGTAAAAATTATTTTAGAATCTGTAAATCTATAATCAAGAGAGCTTTTGAAGAGTGATATTTTGGTATATAAATCTCACTTTCATCTTTGCGAGAAGGCATGTTTTCCTCCCCCTCTGCAGCATTTTCACTGTCTGTGTGAACAGTTTCGAAGCTCTGGGAATTCCGTTCCAACTGTTGCTCTGCGTCCCTGCCTCTCCTTCCCCCCGGTCCGTAAAGGCCTTGTTGAACCCCGTTGACTTCCTTCCTGGACCCGTGTAAGAATTCAGTGCTCTCTCCTTCCTCACTGAAACAAATCTGCTGCCAGAGTAATCTTCTAGAAGTGAAATTCTACCTGTTCCAGCAACAGAGACCCAGCCTTCAGCTGCGTCCCCTTGTCTAACAAAGGATGGATTCCCCCTTGCAGCATTCGTGGCTTCCACAACACAACCCTACCTTCTTCCTTTGTGACCTCTCTGCCCTGTGGCTTTCACACCCCCGCTATGTGACAGCAGCCCGAGCCACTGTGTCCCAAGCATTGCTCACACCAGAACTCTTTCTTTGTCCAGTTTCCATCACTGCTGTCTCTCCACATCTTTTCCATTACTCAAATTCCACCGTCGAAGCCATTCTGGACTCCCTTAGCCGCTTGACCACCATTCCACCACTTACACTTTTCTTATGGTCTTCAGTTTATTCTAGCTTATGTCATCTGAAGTCCATATCTTATCTCCTCTGTTAGATTTTGGACGACAATAACGATGAAGTGCCTGTCAGAATTAATATACAACAGTATGGTGATTGTGGGGGAGATAGGAGTGGGTGGAGGTAGAAGAAGGTATCAGAGGAATAAATGGTAATGGAAAAAACACAATAAAAAGTAAACTATTAAAAATGCAAAAAAATAATGGAAAGCTGTTGTCTAGGATGAAGAAGGTGAGAAGCAAATTCTGCTTTGTGATGGTTAGACTGTGTCTTTTTTGTTGGTGAATGCTGATCATGGAAAAACATGTAACCACAATTAAAGGCATTCCAAAGTGAGCATCCATGGCAGTGAAGGGCTCTGTCTCACTTTGAGTAGTGATTAAAAACACTTGAAATATTTAGACAAAAGATATCTGAAGGGAACAGAATGGTTATCTTCCAATATTCGAAGGCAAGAATGGACTTTTACAGCTTCCTCAGAGGAGGTTTTAACTAACATGTGACAACTGCAAGAGGCAGATTTTTGTCTCACTGTAAAGAATAACTATTTTACAGTTCTCTTCTAGAAACCTCAGGGTCACATTTTATTCTCCCCTTTTGCTCACTTCCATTAAGCCAAAGAGCAGATTCTGTGGGTTCTGCTTCCTAAATACACATTTTTTTGTCATGTGTGACGCACTTGTCCAAATCCACCATTATCCCACGTGGGTTACAGAGGAGCCACTTGACTGAAATCCCGACCTCCACTCCTGTCTTTGCTACATGGCAGGTACAGTGATCTTAATGTGTAAATCAGGTCGTATCACTCACCTGCTTAAAACCCTCCATTGCACTTAGGATTTGAATTCCTTACCATGGCTTAGAAAACCATTCATCTGAGCTTTATCTTCTCCTACTTTCTCACCCATCCCCCAGACTCTGCCCTATCTACACTGGTCTTATTTCTATTTTCTTGTCTACAAAAGGCATCTTCTCTTCTTAGGGCATTTGCATTTGCTGTTCCCTGTATTGGAATCCTCTTCTCCCAGATCATCACATGCTCAAAACTTAAATGCTCAGTGAAGAGTTGCAGTATACCCCACATGGTGTCCCTGCTTCTTCTGCCCCTTATCCTGTCTTCCTATTTTACTTTCTTCTTAGCAATTTTCATTATTTGAAAGCATCTTGTTTGCTTGATTCTTTGTTGACTTATTTTTACTTCTTTGTTGTCTGCCTCTCCCATTAAAATGTAAACTAGGAAAGCAGGAACTTTGCTTTGTGCACTGATTGTTAAGGCCCGAAAGTGTCCAGTGCTGACTAGCAGTTTAATGA